TGTTGAAAACGAAATTGACAAATGAGCAATCTGATGTTTTTTTTGTTGTTTTGTATATTAGAGATTTTGATTTTTTTCTGTTGTGTATATGTATTGTTTATATACATAGTCCATTCATCAACGTTAACGTTATTAAGGTATTCTCGTCAGTTAAAATGCGATACGTGTTTATGTTAAATATATTTTCGGTATATGTTGCAGTTTCTACCAACTCTTCAGCTACGTTACTTAAAAAAGAAAAGAATTTTTCGCGAGATTTTTTCCATAATATCTACGTGATTTTTGTGTATTATTGATTCCATAATATCTACAAGACTTCCTTTTTTTTATTAACTAAACGCAAATTATGTTTGTATGGCATAATTGAAATATTTTCATAATCGTGTAGGATAGATGAAAATTTTTCAATGAGAAATGCTACATTGTCAATCAAGGGTACAATTAGGTTATCAACGTGAAAACATCAACTTGTGTATTTTGTTCAAATATATATTTCCACTTGTGTTGTAAAACTAGTTGTATACTATATTAGCATAGTAGAATTTTTCTAATAGAATTCGCTTGCACAACAAAATTAATGAAAGATTTTGGAAAATGATTGCTCCATGCTTTTCAACAAATTTGTAACTAATTATATTCAAAAAGAGAAATTGCACGTTGCACAACAAAATACATCCAATTTGGTCACGCTCACTTTTGCCCCCACATATATCCCAAGATTATTCTTTTTCCTATAATCAGTAATAATGAAAATATCAGAAGAAAAACAAAATAATGTCACAACAACAAACCAATTTACTCAATTCTGTTGAAAATTAATGTAATTTCACTACCAATCAATTTGAATTTGCCTCTCAAAAAGCCAATTTAATTTATTCAGCCAGTGACTATCATCTGAATTCCTGAAAGTTGGCATGGCCTGTCGCTTGGGCATGCTCCACTGCTTCCTGCCATAGTGAAGCCAAAAACATAAACAATAAGTTTGCAATTTCATAAACTTACCAAAAAGAAAAAAGATTTTTTTTTTTTGTTAAAAACCTTTTGTCCCACGACTCCTATTTGGCAAACGGCGCATCGCAGGGTGAAGTTGGCAGTGTCCGTGAAGCTCCGCTTCCTAAAATTTAACGGGACTTTCAACGTAAGTACAAAACAAGGCTCCATCTAAAGCAAATATCGAAACGCGACCTTCATCATTTGTAGCTAACTAAAGTCATTAGTCACACGTCGAAAAAAGAAATGTAGGAAACTTTTAGGGTGTGTTTGTATATGAAAAACACTCGATTCATGCTCAAATCATATTCAAAATCTAACTCAACTTTAAATAATACCAACGAATCATTCTTTCACATCGCATTAACTTTAATTTACTATTCATCCACTCACATAATAGTAACTAACCATCACTTCACACTATCTCTCTCCTACTTTTATATCGAGTTAACTTTAAGTATTTTATTTTAAATATTATTTTAATGTAAAATCAAAATTCCACCGACAAGTAACAACTAACCACACCATTTTTTTCAAAATTAAATCTGGTTAACCAAAAAAATTCATTTTGAGCAGATATATTTGTTTACAAACAAACCCTTTTAGCCTTCTTTGTTCAAGGAGCGTATAATGAGTTTTACCCGACATATTAGGTAAATCAAAAGCTCGGGTGTCTTTTTGAACTGTTTGTGCTCAAAAAGAGCATCCAAATAATATTTAGAAAAAAGGAGCAAGATAAAGAGTGCAATAGCAGTATAGAGTAAGAAAAAATGGATAAAGAATGATATGTTACAAGTATGAACATTATTTAGCACACAAAACATACAACATAAAGGGCATGTGATGAAGAAAAAACACGATTTGACCTGTGCTGATCTTTAACGAGATGAAGGGCAAGGTCTTCAACTGGGCCCACAGTGCGCACAGCAAATACCGTCTGATCGAACTCCTCTGGAGCTCCTTCGAAGGGCGACATCTGCACATGGAAATACATATTCATGCTTGTTATCCAAAACAGAATATTGAATCTTTATCCAAGATTCAATTACGGTATGAGTTTAATAATCACTCGAAACATAACTCGAAAACATAGATACAGAAGTTGTGCATGCACATATCTACAGAGATGGGTTGAGAAAGATACAAAAGGCCTTACAGCTAAAGCATCATAATGGATCCCATCATATATCAACATCACTCTTTCTTCAAAGTTATTTCCCTGCATATTAAAATCCCATTGAGTAAATGGTCGAATAATACGAAGATTTCGAGCCATTGGTATCACCAAAAGAATATTGTACTAACCTGCCCATACAAAACACATCTCGTGGTTTGTATATCATATGCTGCAATTTCACGTCCATAATATTCGGACAATATTGCAAGTTCAATAGCACCTTTAAGATGGAAAATCAAGAAAAAGAATCAGCCCTACAGATAAAGTAGACAAGTTTCGTGATATTAATGATTAAATTTCGACTAAGATGTTATGACTTATTGGCTCTAACCAAAGAGATGATGATTCATTATTGTTTGATTGATTCATAGACAATAAGGAGCGAAACTACTGAGAAGAAAACTTACAATCCAAGACATAACCAATTTAAAAGCTTTTTCAGAATCATGCAACAAAAAATCATAGAACTGCGCATGAATCTTTCACATAAGCAGATAGATGTAATTACATAAATAATTCTGCAAATATATAGGGAAATTTAAACGTATGAATAATCCACGTTCTCTTTTCACCTAAATCTTATCTAATCAACAATAAATTCATCTCAAATCACACCCCACTTTCACAAAATATGTAGGTCAAAGACAGTGTACTAGGTTTAGCTAGGAGCCAGATCAGAATCACGAAGCTTTCGAAATTATGTCGTAAAAGGAACTGTAAGTCTGCTCAATGCCTCATTAATACAACATACAGCTTATAAGAAAAAAATAAGCTGGACAGAAGCTTCTTATATAGTATGCAGCAGAAATTAATACCAAGCCAAGACTGGAAGAAGGTTCCACAGATCATTTGTGAATTTCATCATATAGCATGCATATCCGCTATTACCCAACTTATGAATGATCAAGACAAAAAATAAAAAAATAAATAAATAAATATAAAATAAAAAAAATATAAATATAAATAAATCAGTATGCAATATGCAGGAGTTTTAATGCAAAGGCAATATACGAAAGAAACATATATTGCTTGAACGTTGGAATTATTCTTTCAATAACAGACCAGGTACATGTATCCCTAGTGTGACGTTGAACAATATCAAAACAAATAGAAGGCCCTCTTATGGGATCAGCATGGACAAAAAATCATTTCACAAGTATGAATAAATCCAGTTAATTTGTAAATACACCAAAATTTGAGCGTGAGTATCAAGCTAAACAACTAGGATTGGCATAATTTAAGAATCTAATTGCCAACCTATTATTTCTGATATATCAGAGTTTAAAACATTAGACAATAAAATTCTTGAATGGATTCCGTTGTTCACATCGTGTTGCTTCATAGAAGGAAATTTTTTGAATATAATTGTTGTTAACCCCAAATTTCTTTCACAAGGGCAAGAAATTCTAATTTTTAAATGATTCCAGCAGGCCGCAAAAGAAAAACAACAAAAAATAAAATTTTGTATGCAAGCATTGTATGTAGTGGCTGCCCTATATAATTAGCAACTAATTCTGTGGCCATCCAAGGAAGTTGAATGTTTTACCGCATACAGTTGATTATTAATACGTCAGTTTAACTTGTGTTGTCGGACAACAAAAACTATACATGATGCATTCTGCAAAAGCCCATATAGCGAAATACATGCAGTCCTAGTAAGTTATGCAACCTGGAGTCTTGAACTAAAAGACTGCAAGCACATTGCATTTAGATGAAAAATAATTGAACAAAGAACAATATCATGCAATATCTTGTGGTAACATGAAGCGTCCGAGTCTACCAACATATATATGGCTGGGGATTACTTGCACAAGTGAAGAGAAGCTAAGCTTCGAATTTCCATCAAGGACTGATTTTTTTTCCCTTATAATCAATTTCACTCATGATGCGTGACTAATAAACAAAGCGAGGAAGGTGAGCAAAGTAAATACTGACCTCCCCACTTGTCTGGATTAAGAATCCAGGCACAGTACTCATCATTAGTCAATCCAAGGAATGCCTCACAATACTTTTCTGGATCACTAGCGACTGTTGCTGCTATTACCTTCACCAAGTTCGAAGTTGCAAAAAATCACTTGCAAAGAAATAAATAAAAAGCCAACAGAAACAAGATTTAACACTGATAGAAAGCATGTCAACTCTCCATGCAGAAAATGATTCATTTAACTAGACAAAGGCGCACGAAGCTTTTTCTGAAATGTGAGTTACCACACGGCTATAGTTCAGTCAACAAAGTTAAAACAAACTTATGTATACAGAAGACAAGTGATCGCCAATTTTTCTACTATTTTATTCACTACAACGTTCTCACCCACAATGAATAACTTTCATTTCCGTTTTAGCATATATGTGAATATTCAAAACGTAAAATTGTTTTCCAGAAGCATGTATGCAGAAAAGACATCGTGATGACCAAAGAGTAGATGGATCGTCAACTCCTAGCTAAAAACCCCCAAGTAGTTAATGAATCATATATATGATTCAAGTAATTTTCATGTACAATTTTTCAGGGCCAAAAGGTAAGATACTTAAAACATGAACTTTTCGAATCGAAAACTCTCAACATTTAAGTCTCACATTACTTTCAAACTAGGATAATCATGATGTGGGCATTAATGCGCCATGCTTTATATGTTTTACCCAGATGAAGACACTTTTTACTCTTACTATTTAAAAATAACAAATATTCTTATCTTTTATAGTATATATATATATGTGATTATTTCATCCAGCAAAATGAACTTCTTTTCCAAAAGTACCTTCGAGAGGAATTATGGGTGATATCCAACCAATTGACAAGCACAACATTTTAGGTTGAAAATGTAAAAGATACATAAAAATTAAAACTTTGAGAACTCCCACACATTACTGCCAGATGGATCGAAGAGAACTCAATCTCATCATCATACCCAGAACAACAGGGACACACATCAGTTGTAACTCGACATTTGATTCTCACGTGGTCTAGTACAGAATGAGCATTTCACAATTATTCACACAAATAATATTAAAAATTAGTGAATTGTCGTATTCAATACACAAAATGGAGGAAATCGATCAACTTTCTTCGTTGCCTTGGAACTCGATTCATACCTGTCTCAGCTCAGAAGCCTTGTTTCTGTCGTGATCCATGACATAACTGCAAATATTCCACAACTTAGTTACTAAACAATATCCGCGCAATCACTTTCCGAACAGAAATAAGATACTCCCACACGAAAGGTAATCTCATAATCCAGTTCATGAGATTTGGAAACCCTTGTTAAATTTTCCGAGCTTACCCGACCGCATTAAAGAGGCAGCTGTTATCTGAAGGAATAACTCTCCTAACCACAATACCTTCCATTTTAAACCTGAAAAAAGTGACAGTCTTGGTTAATATCGTTCGGAATTCGACCACGAAACATATAATTTACGAAACCGGGTCGTGAATAAATTTGTCAAATTTGAAAAAGATCCAGAAAAAAAAAAAAAAAACAATGTTCGGACACAAGTGGGTTCAACAGCCTTAAGAATTACGAACAACAAAAAACGCTAAATCAAGTACTTCTATGTTCCTATCAACCAAAAATGGGCTAACAAGAAAATAGGACCCATGAAAGAAGCTCAGGCAAATCAAGAAATCATTCTTACTTCAATATATAGACAGTTATCCAATTGCATAATCATAACAATTTATATTTCATCAAGAACAATTGGGAGCAACAGAAACAAACTGGGGATTAAAATTATTGCAACCTCTGACAATTTGAGGAAGAGAATTTGGAGGCGTGTCGTAGATCTTGGCTATCTCCCACGAAATGTTCTTGCGTGAACGCTAGAAAAGGCAAAATAAAGCAAAAGGAGCGCTTACGGCGAAAAAGCTGAATTTTTTATTATGGTATTACGATTGTCATTTTAGTATTTTTACAGTTTCAAATTTGCAGCGATTAAAATCAGAAAATACCTTCCAAATTCTTTGGCAAATTCTATTTTTTTTTTTTTTTTT